CGCGAAAACAGGCGCACTTCCGCATTTTAGAATAAGGTCAATTGGACAGCATTTTCTCAAAAGGTGGTGGAAAGCAACTCCATTATACACTGTGTCAGAGAAAAAGTCTTATTGCGGACTGAATCCAGGGTACTGATCCCACAGAGGTCAGTATTTAACAAACAGTAATGTCTAAAGTAGAGTCTGATGTTGAAATTGACTTCAGAACAAGCTTAATACATTGTAGCATTGATTCGACAAGGGGTTTGAAATATTCTTCAGAATTTTTTTGTCCGCATTGAGATTATAGCAGTGTGCTGTAACGGGAGTTTCATCAGCGGTTTGCATCCATAATGTGAATCTTCCCTACCACCCAAATATGTTCTATTGGATTGAGATCTGGTGATTGTAGAGGTCAGCCAAGTGAAGTGAATTCATTGTTAAAAAAACGATGAGATTGTCTGGTGATAAAGAGATAGACATGGTCACAGCAGGAAAAAGGTAGGCTTTAGCTTTTAAACAATGCTCAGTTGGTGTTTTAGCATACCTTGTGCATAGTTTTGCATGTATACTTTTGTGTTCTATTTGTGTTGCTCTGCCTCCATGGGACTCGACACTTGTTAAACATACACTCCAACCACAGATTGTAAAAAAAATAAAATAAACAGGTCCCGCAGCTCTCATCCTCGCCCACACTCATCAATGCTACAGAGCCAACCAGTCACAGAGCTCACATCGTCACAATGTGTAGTTAAATTTTTTTGAGAGAGGTGTCACGGCAAAGTATGCGACAAAGTTATGTGCAAAGGCAGCACCGAACCTTTGTTCACTCAATGCAGGAGTATAAATCAGCCTAAAGGGGCCCATGATGTGCATGGAAAAATTCTCCTTACCATTACACCTTCTCCAGCAGCCTGAATCATTGATAAAATGCAGGATGGATTGATGATTTTATGTTTTTACATCAAATTCTGACCCTACCATCCCAATCTTCCCACAGGTCTTGAGGATCACCAGATCAGTCAACCTTTTACCAATCTTGAGCCCATGCAAATTGCAGCCTCAGTTAGATTTTCTTAGCTTACAGCAGTGTCACTGATGTGCTCTTCTTTTTCAGTTCCTGTAGCTCATCTGTTTCAAGTTTGGATGTTTGTTCAGACCTTGGTGGTATCAAGTGGTTATTTAATCACGGTTGTCTTTATACTGTATCAGATGCTCAAGTCTGGCCGCTCTCTTTGGCACAATCTTTGGCATCAAGAATCAAAGAACAAACTAAAATTATGTAATTTCAAACAGTTTTATTCAACCCGGGCTCATTGTGGAAACGTAGCCCCGCGGACGTTTCTGCGGACCGCGATTTACGTCCCGGGAGGTACGTATTCAATCGTTTTTTTGTTTTCGCGGATCCGCGAGAGGCCGCTGTGCGCGCTTTTTCACGCCCGCGCCGTTCTCACGTGAAAAGCCCGTAAAGTAGTCTTTCTCCTTTGAAACATGTCAAAAAAAGTTTTTTTGTTTTCGCGGATCCGCGAGAGGCCGCTGTGCGCGCTTTTTCACGCCCACGCCGTTCTCACGTGAAAAGCCGCCGGATTGAAAAAAAAAAAAAGCCCCTGTCTTCGATTTCAACCGCGTTTTCGGATCCCGCCGCGTTCTCGCACTTATTTTTCGGATTCCGTTTTTCGTCTTACCTGATTTCCGGAACCCGCTGTTCCCCGGACTCAATCCCGGTCGTCGTCCACCGCGGCCGGCTCCTCCTCGTCCGGGGCCTCCGCTCCGCCGACGCAACGCTGTGGGCTAGGCAGACAAACTGATTGCGTCGGAAAAGCCCTCCACTCGGAGGCGAGCCGTCGGCTGGCGAGTGCGAAGAGGAGGGGCGAAGCGGCGCCACACCGCCCCGCAGCGTTCGCTCGAAAAATAACCAAACGCGGCCTTTACGTACCTCCGGCCACGTAAATCGCGGTCTCCAGAAACGTCCGCGGGGCTACATTTCCAGAATGAGCTTGGGTTGGTTTTATTAGTACAAAACTGCTCACCAAAGCAAACTTTTTAGGGAGTTCGTTTTGGCTCCTTAACACATTTGAGCTACCATTGGTCCATGGCAATTACGCAATTGGTGGATGTGTTCTGTAACTCTGCCTTCTTTGACATGCTTCGTATCTCATATCCACAGAGCCCAAACAGAAGAACAACATCTAACCAAACAACACCAAGTTAGCATCATGAATGCACGGGAGGGTCATGTAGCAGAGCTGATACAGACATATCCGCACCTGTACGATATCAGTTGCAGAGAGGTTTTTAAGATTCTGAGGTGGTCACACACTGGACAAGAAGAGCCACCGCATCACACCATGTCTTTAAAAGTTCTTAACATTGTTTAGTACCTGTTCCCAGCAATTAGAAAACAATGTAAAGATATGCAGTGGTGCTTCTCATCTGATCACTAAAAGCTTGTTGTTTATGAAACTGCTCTTCTCTTACAGCCTCCATTGTTGTGTGTAGTGGTAAACACGAGCAGGGTGACACATTTGCAACCCTGCCTACTGCAGAGCGGGGGTGTTGGAATGTTTGAAATTGGTATACCATCACTCAGCCTTTTCAAACTTCTTTTTGCCCTCAATTGAAGTACGACAAGTATAGTGAGGCCTTTAAAGCACCTTTCCTCCTCATTCTGAAGCTTGGTTTGAACTTTGTCTGATTGTCTTGAAGACGTCCACAAGCCTAAACGTGTTGGATTGATTCCTTTGCAATCATATGCTGTTTGACAGGTGTACCTAATAAAGTATGATGAGGAGGACACATTGTGGATTCCGAGAGAGTTGCAGAAGTAAATACACAGCCTACCTTTACCAGATATCTGAGTGTAACCGCAAACTTAATCCACCCATATTCCTCCAAATCCGTTAAAGTGTCAAACTGATCCTCCGCTATAAAAGCAGTCCCAAAATTAAGAATGACAGAGCTCCCCCTAGACTTATCAGTAGTGCTTACGTCCATTTCATCTATGTAGTGCCATAGGTTATTTTCATCCTCACCCAGCAGGCCGTTTGAAGGCAAGCTAATTATGTAAAAGGTCATATATGCAGGGAACTTGTAGGTCAGTACCTAAGTGATACATTGTCAAAACACCAATGATCTATAATATAAAATATCTGTACATTTGTACCTTGTTGTACTGACTCAATGAGGAGCTCTTGTAGCTCGACATGTACGTCGGAGGACTTGAGACGCAGAGTAGAGTTGAGTTAGGTTTAGAAAATGGAGTGGATGGGTCTGTTTTAAAACGGTTGGTCAGTCAGTCGACAGCAGCATCTGGTGGATTTAAGTGAGACCAGCAGGCGTGAATGGCACTCACAAGAGAAATCTGAGATCTTAAAGCGTACACAGCGGTCTCTAGTGGATTCGTGAAAACAAAAACCTCAAAAAACATAGCTCCATGGGCATATTTTGCTCTCCCCAAATATGTATATAGGGGTACATAATCATTATAAGCCTGGGTTGACTAATGTTATGCCTCTACATTTAATTGTTTTTCTCAAAAACTCACCAAAGATGTCATTTTGGTCATAAATACTGTCAATTAATATTATGAATTTTTTTTAATAATTTTTTCGGGGGGGTTCACCTTTAATAGATAGGACAGTAGATAGTATTGACAGGAAAGCGTGGGGAGCAGAATGAGTGGAAGTATCTGCATTGGACCTCAAGGCTGGAATTGAACACAGGACGCCGTAAGTGCATGTGTCAATGTACTAACCACTATGGTATTGGATTGATATTACAATTTAAAGGGATAGTTCACCACAAAATGAAATTTCTTTCATCAATTTATGAATTCGGTCCGAGTTTATATGAGGTGGCCTTAACTAATATGTACCTAGACTGGAATTAATCATTTGTCATAATGTACTTATCGTGTAAATACATGTTTTTAAATTGTACTTATGATTGATTAAATACCTGCATGTAATTACATCTTTAATACATTTCTGTAATAACTTTTGCCCATCCCTTACACCTTAATCCATTCCTAAACCTACCCATACCCCCAGACCTGTCCCTTACCCTACCTGTATCCCACCTCAAGAGCTCCAGTATTGTTCTGCAATACTTCATGAACACAGTAAGTGTATTGTACTTATTTTTGATGCAAGTGCATAGTAAAGGCCACCTTATATATAATGGGACCACTCTTTCTGTTGAGCATAAAAGAAGACACTTTTAAGACTCTTGGAAGCTGATAGCCATTGATTTCCATTGTAGTTTTTCTAAAATAGATGAGTACTGGTTTGGTTTTTGTGTTCAACAGAAAAAAATAAATAAATTTGGAGCTACTTAGAGGAAACCGTGAGTACATTTTCATGTGAACTATCCCTTTATTGTACACTTTTATTTAAGCATATGAAAATGTTGATTTAATGTTAACTTTATCATTGCCAATGTTGAAAACAGTTGTAATAATAAATAAGAGGAAAACCTGACACTTTGAACCAGTGCTCTCGAACTCAACTCCTGGAGAGCCTCTAGTAGTCTTGAACACCTTGATTAGTTGGATTGGCTCTGTTTGATTAGGTTTGGAGCAAAACTGTGCAGAGCTGCAGCCCACTAGGAATCGAGATTGAGACCTATGCTTTAAACCAGGGATCACCAAACTTGTTCCTGGAGGTCCTGTGTCATGCAGATTTTAGCTCCAACTCTAATCAGGCACACCTGAACAAGCTAATCAAGGTCTTACTAGGTATACTTGAAACAGCCAGGGAGGTGTTTTGAGGCAAGTTGGAGCTAAACCCTGCGGGGCACCCGACCTCCAGAAGCAAGATTGGTGAGCCCTGCTTTTTTGTAGCATTTCAAATGATTTACATTTTAAAATTTACCCTAAGATTTGACTTTATTTTATGACTTTGTGTTTATTATAGTGTTTGTATGTGTACTATTATATTTATATATAAATGTTGCTTTCTTGACATGTATGAGGCAACTGGTAAATAAAATCTGAGAGTAAAAGAAGACTCAAAACACAAAAGCACATTCAGACCAGTTTATTTATTCATTTATTTTTTCAACCACTCTGAGTTAGCGTTGTTTTATCTCAAGAGTGTTTGTCCTGGTTGGTCTTGTTTGAGATCTCACTTGGACTCGGTGACAGCCTGGGTGGAGGAGATCACTTTGCCATCCTTCACCTCCTCTACAATGGTGACCACTTTGCGTGTGGTTGTGGATGTAGATGTGGATGATGGTGCGGATGAGGATGTGGATGAGGTTTTGGTTGTGGATACGGTTTGAGAACTTCTGAGGTTGGGACAAATGGGAGCAAAAGTTACAGACTCCTCAGAATCACATCACATTTTGCTTCTGGAGTACATAAATATACATTATAAATGCTCACCTTGAAGCCTCTCCATCCAGCAGTCTTCTGTACTCTGCAATCTCCATCTCCAGTCTGGTCTTGATGTCCAGAAGCATCTGGTACTCCTGACCTTGGCGTTCCAGATCAGCACGGAGCTGCATCAGTTGCTCTTCCATGTTGCCCACCTGCATTTGGTAACCATTCAACATGTTGCCGTAGCGGGCCTGTGTGTCTGCCAGAGTGCCTTCCAATGACGCTTTCTGTTGGGGGAGAGTCATTACTGATGATGCTGTGTGATGGTATCCAACAGCAAATGTGATGATCCGGTCACCTACTTACCATGCTGAGTTGTGACTGGAGTTCAATTTCAAGACCCTGGAGTGTGCGCTTAAGCTCTGTGATTTCAGATTTGGTTGATTGTAGGGTTTCTGTGCTTGCAGCGACTTCTTTATTGAGGGATTCACTCTGTGAAAAAACAATTTACAAAATAGTAGTTAAATTAAATTAATTTGGGGGGAGGGGGGGTTGCTTTAGTTTTGGTTGCCTTTGAAAGGCTTGGGCTAATCTGATTTTACCTTGGACTGGAACCAGTGCTCAAGATCTCTTTGGTTCTTGGCAGCAACTTGCTCGTAGTGCTCACGGATATCAGCCATGACCTTTGTCAGGTCTTCCTGTGGTGCTGCGTCGACCTCTACGTGGACTTGTCCGCTCATCTGGCCACGTGCTGCCAAGAGCTCCTAAAGGTGCAATAGCAAACCACTGAGCAGTTGCCTCATTGGGCGAAATATCATAGTTATTAAAGAGTGTGATCCAATCACTAATTTACCTCCTCGTGGTTCTTCTTGAGGAAGATCAGTTCTTCCTTCAGACCCTCGATCTGCATCTCCAGGTCAGATCTGGTCATTGTGAGCTCATCCAGTACCTTCCTCAAGCCAGCGATGTCTGCTTCCACAGACTGCCTCATGCTCAGCTCATTCTCATACCTGCGCAGAAATCAAACCATTGTTACTCAGGCCCATTTGACGTGGTGATAGCTTTTCTTTTAGTGTACTGTATATGGACTTACTTGACCCTGAAGTCATCTGCGGCCAGCTTGGCATTGTCAATGCTGAGGTAGATGCCTCCATTGATACGAGTGGCATCCTGGATCTTCAGGAGACAACAATATTGACAAATGTCATCATACAGTCAAAAATCATTTAGAGAGCAGTTCTGCTAATCTTCATCGAATCTGCTGCTTTATTTTAGTACATTATTAGGAAGGTAAGTTAGCAAAATATAATAAGTGCTTAATATAATATAATAAATACCACATACTTTGTTCTGGAGGTCACTGATTGTTGCATAGTAGGCACTGTAGTCCCGAGCAGAGGGAGATGTCTTGCTGTCCAGGAACTGGCGGATCTTCAGCTCAAGATCTGCATTGGCCTTCTCCAGAGAGCGCACCTTCTCCAGGTAGGAGGCCAGACGGTCATTGAGGTTTTGCATGGTGGCTTTGTCATTTGCAGACACATCAAAGGCATCACCACCAGCGCCACCGCCAAAGCCTCCGCCAAATCCACCACCTGCTCCTCCACCGAACCCAGCACCACCTCCGAAGCCGCCACCGCCTCCAGCAGAGTAGGAGCGAGAAGCAGAAGCACTGGAGATGCGTGTGCCATAACCTCCAGCTCCTCCGTGCACACTGCCTGCATACATGCCAGAGACACGTCCACCTCCACCACCGCTACCAGACATGGAGAAGCGAGATCCTCCACTCATGGAGCCCCCAGAGGACTTGAAGCTGCTACGGCTGTATGAAGACATGCTTGTTGAGGGGAGGCTTGCTGCTCTCTTCTCTGACCGGAGAGTGTGTGAGAAGTGAGGAAAATAAGTCCTATCATCCTTTTATTTGGATAAGCGGGGAGGGAATCGTCAGGATGGGCGTTTTGGATTATCCGAGGAGGTGGAGTGCGAAGCCACTGCCTCTCCAGAATAAACATGCAGGATCACACACACACACACACCCACACACACACACACACACACACACACACACACACACACACACACACACACACACACACACACACACACACACACACAGAGAAAGTAGTCAGCCAGCTGAATGCTCTGAATGTGTTCAAGGTCTGATTTAGTGTAGCTGGATTTTATAGAAAGGCATTTTGCCATAGGGAAGTCAGCGCCAAGACAGCATGCATATGATTTTGATTTGCAAAGCACTGCTTTTCTTCTTGCAGTTTAATTCATTTACCTTTTGTACAGTCAGTTTATTCTGCATCTATCTATCCATCTATCTGTCTGTCTATCTGTCTGTCTGTCTTTAATCTATCTATCTGTCTGTCTATCGATCGATCGGTCTGTCTCTCTGTCTGTCTGTCTATCTATCTATATATGAGTCTATCTATCTATCTATCTATCTATCTATCTATCTATCTATCTATCTATTATCTATCTATCTACCTACCTGTCTGTCCGTCCGTCTGTCTGTCTGTCTATCTATTTATCTGTCTGTCTATCTGTCTACCATCTATCTGTCTGTCTGTCTATCTATCTTTCTATCTGTCTGTCTGTCTATCATCTGTCTGTCTGTCTGTCTACCATCTATCTATCTATCTATCTATCTATCTATCTATCTATCTATCTATCTATCTATCTATCTATCTATCTGTCTGTCTGTCTGTCTATCTGTCTGTCTGTCTATCATCTATCTATCTATCTATCTGTCTGTCTGTCTGTCTATCTATCTATCTATCTATCTATCTATCTTTTGTAGTCAGATTCTTCTGCATCTGTCTGTCTAGCTATCAATTTTCTATCCAATCAATCAATGAATCAGATTCTTTTGCATCTTTCCATCTGACTGTTTATCTATATCTAACAATAAATTGTTGAGAAAAAATAAAAAACTGAGTTGTCTCAACAACTGTTTTTAGTTTTTCTCAGTAACAATTTTTTTGTTCAGCTAACATAATATTGTTTATTTATGCAATGTTGATTATTGTATTTTACTAATAAAGATATTCTCGTCACATCAATACAGTCAATACATTTGTTTCTGTTTAGTAGATGATTTTTTTATTTGCAAAATAAGTAATTAGTTCTAGTTAGCATATCATACTGTTTTTAATCATTTTACTTAAAAAAGAACACAAACTTACTACTTCATCCATTCGTTAATTCCCCTTTGGCTTAGTCCCTTTATTCATCAGGGGTCATCACAGTGGAATGAACCGCCAACCTATTCAGCATATGTTTTACTCAGCGCATGCCCTTCTAGCTGCAACCCAGTACTGGCAAACACCCATTCACACGCAGACACCTGTACCTCATTGTCTTTGGATTGTGGGAGAAACCAGAGCACCTGGAGGAAACACATATGGACACAGGGTGTCAGCCGGGTCTCAAACCAGTGACCTTCTTGCTGTGAGGTGACTGTGCTACTAACTGCCCCGCTGTGTCTTCAATCTTTCAAGCATCAAAAAACAAGCTTAGTTTTCGATCGTCACATTACACATGCGCTAATATTTCAGAAACATGTTTGTCCAGAAAACTTAGTTAAACATGTAGACATAACATTTTAGCAAATATTGTTGACATAACATATTTTTATGTAATCAATTCATAATCACAATTCTTAGTATATATGACAGAAAAAGTACAGTGTGCTTAACAACTTGTGATTTTGTTTTTTTCTGTCTATCTATCTATCTATCTATCTATCTATCTATCTATCTGTCTGTTTCTTCGTTCATTTGATCTAATAGTGGACTTTACAATATATTATATTATGTATAGATAAATAATGAATGCATTATCCGTTATCATGCAGTGTTTTAAGAGCCTTGCATTTGCTTTGTGCATATAAATCAGCTTGGCAGTGTTTGGTTGCTTACACATCAGACTGCTGTATCGATTTGGGCTAAAATATACTTATTCAACCCTGATGTTACCTGCAGAAATGCATGTGATTTTAGTATTTGTGTCACTTAAAACATTTTTCTTTTTTTAAAGAAAACCATCAAACTTAAGGATGACACTTTAATGACTTTAATTTCTAACAAACCTGAGGGAAAACAGCAGCGAATGCAGGAACTAGTAAAGTGAGAGTTTTTGCCCTCAGGCTGCCAAAAGTGAGACACACCCAGAAAACAAGCTGCAGCATAGCCATGGTTACTCTGTCGCTTATATATACATGCAAAAATGTATAAAACATAATGTTCTATTCATTTATGTCTTTTAGAAAACACTTTTTATCATATGTACATACAATTATAGTATTTTCATTAAAAAGTGCATTTCATCAGGTACTGTTTACATAACTTTCAAACCTAGTTTCTTATTCATCTCAAGTGATCCATTTTGTTTGGTTTAAATCGTTCTTTGCACTACGCTTTCTAAATCTAAAGTATCAAGATAAACCATAATGCTGTTGCCATGGCAACAAAAACAAATAGTAAAAAGGTAAAAACTTTGAGTTACAAATCATTGAGGCTGTAAATTTGATGGCCTGATATGAAAAAAAAGAGCCAATTAATGATTAAGCTTCAGCTGATAGCAGTTTTATAGTGAAGAACTGAAACGCCTTGCACCATAAAACTACACAGAGAACGAGTGCGAGCAGTAGCAAAAACACTTTTAATTGGTTTGTTTAGTGCATAAATGATTTTGACAATCTTTAGCAAAATGCTATGTGTTTAAATCGCATCGTATAATATTTTATAAATCATTCAATCATTTTAGCTTCTGCTTAGTTCCTTATTTATCAGGAGTCGCCACAGCAAAATAAACCGCTAACTATTCTAAAATAAAATGTGTTTTTTGTCTTTTCAGCCACAACCCAGTACTGGGAAACACCCATACACTTTCACAAATACAATTAAGTTCATATAGCGCATAGCTTTGTACTGTGAGGTAAACCAGAGCACCTGGAGTAAATCAAGGAGAACATGCAAACTCCACACAGAAACGCCAACTAGCCCAACCAGAACTCGAAACAGCAACCTTCTTGCTGTGAGGCAACAGTGCTAACCACTGAGCCACCATGCTGCCATTATTTTATAAGTACATATTTATATGAAAGTGAGAGGTCTCGGAGTGCATCGCCAAACAAACCTACTCCACCCATTCTTTGAACAACAGTATCACACTTTGCATTTTGTTTTGCATTAGTTTTACATAGACATGCTTACAGTAAACAACCGTTTGTTTATGACTGTTCCTATGTAGGTGTGGTATGGAATCCGTATATATACCTGCAACTATGTGTCTGAAGAGACCCACCTGGGAAGGTCTATGAACTCCTGTTGAACTCCACCAGCATTTTTAAAGCTGTCAAAAAAAAGGGTGGTACTCCTGAAGTTTTATGCTCTTAACGTGTAAATAAAACACAGGGAAGTGTCAGAGAAAAAGGTCAAACATTTGATGATATACTATACATGGTTTTATGGTTCACACAATTTACACAGTGTGACAAATAAAGGAGTGTGACATTTAACGCCTGAAGTATGACAAATAATGCCGGTTTCCTATCAAACGCAGAATAGTAATTAGGTGCAAAATAACAATTTACCAATTTGTTGTTGCTCTTTGAATTATTCAAAGCCTATAATGTGCAGCTGGTGAATAAAACTTGTGTCTTTTGTTTTTGTGTCTTTTACATTTGTTTTTGAGAATTAAATATTTATGTTTTCATAGTTTGCTTAGAATAATCATAAAGCAATGCAGAAACCCATTGGAAATTTAATTAATTCGTTTCCTTGGGGTTATTACATTATATTGGACTTTGTGAGTGATATTTGGATTAAGCTAACGCAATAAAAACATTCAGAAGCTTTTATGGCCCTTCTTAATAATCCAGATATGACTCGCACAGTCAATTTGTAGTTTTTTTGATTGCCTCCCCCCCCCCCTCAAAAAAAAATGCATTTCAATTAGTTTTTCTTTGTCTTTTTTAGGTTCTCACTGCGTTGCTTTTGTACTGTTCCTCGCTGTGAATGTGACCCTTTATAAGCAGGTAAGCGTTTGAGGACAAAGGGTGTGTCAGATCAATACAAAGCGCACGTTAGGTAACATCTAGAGAGTAACAAGGGGACAGATTCTTTCATTTTTCTCCCTCAGGGTTTGACAAGTACGTGCAAGCAGGAGCCAGGAGAACTGTGTTAGCAGCGCCCTCCGCCCTCCTGTCAGTCACATTTAGTCCTTTTCAGAAATTCATAATGATCTTGAGCAATTCTTTTCTTCTGATGATGATTGCAATTTCATGATTATTTAGTTCTGCGCAAGTTCCAAAAGTTTTGTCCAAAATGTCTTAAGCATTGCATTAATAGGAATTTGTTCTGTTATTGCTCTTTTAAAAAAGAAGTAATTTAATATAACAAATTGTGTGTACATGAACAGAGAACTAAAGCATGCAAAGTTGAATCTTAATAATGAAGTTTTTTTTATTTCCTCATGACAAATGATGACTGGTAGATAAAATAGAAATGGAAAAAGGGAAATGTAAAAATGTGTGTGTGATTTCTGTACGGATATATAGATATTTACTGCAATAAAATGTAAAAAAAATATTTAATTTATAAATATACAGAAAATATATAGGTACATATATAGATACAGGGTCACATGGTGGCGTGGGGGGTAGCACTGTCGCCTTACAGCAAGAAGGTCGCTTTTTCGAGCCCCGGTTGGGCCAGTTGGCATTTCTGTGTGGAGTTTGCATGTTCTCCCAATGTTCCCATGGGTTTCCTCCAGCTGCTTTACTTTAAACTTTATTATCCTGTTTGGGAAACTAAAATTGCAGCAAGGTGCC